GGAACCAGCATACGCCGTATTTTTATAGCTTTACTAAGGTGTGTGTACTGGGGTACTGTTGGCTGGATGAACTGGCTGGGCACAGCTCTTCCCACCACATGTGAGACCTGATTAGGCTTAGAAAGACAAGTGTCAGAACAATGGACTTCCAAGGAGCAATTGTGAGATTTTTGTGGGGGATATTCTATGATAATTAGACATCCAAGGATAGCACATGGTTATCCAGTAATGTTTTCAATAGCTTTATATTTATAAAAGGTATATGAAAAGTATAATCTGTGTTACAGGGCATAAAAATGAAGATATTTCCGAATCAAAGGAGTGCATCTGAAGTGGATGTATGGCGGTGCTCTCCCACTCCCATAGCTGTAAACAAGAAAAAAAATGGTTTTTTCCCCCCTCCTAAAACAAGCCGAAGAAAAAGCCATTGCTACCAGAGTAGAACTCTCCTCATTCCAAGTTTCAGCTGGAGCTGAATGTTAAGTGCAAATCTGCAGTGACTTTACAGAGCAGTGTTTGCAGGAGATCTGATGACAGGATGTGTAATAAAGCCATGCCTGTGGGCACCGCTGCTGGAGGTGACAAAAGCCAGGCTTAAGCATCCTTACATCATGCCCCTACCATTGCCGTTGCTGTTGCTGAGGTGTGTAACCATGCTTCCTGATAAGCTCGCTCTTAGAGTTCTCCATCTCCTCTCTGAGGCAGCAGCAATGCATAAATGTGGAAGGTTTTGAAATGCCCTTGTTAGAGGAGAGTCACCTTGTGCATCTGGAGAGATGATTGTGTTCTCTTTTAGCTGGGTCAGCCTGCACTAAAGCTGCACCCCCTCAGGGCTGGGTAGTACAGGCAGATGGTAAGCTGGCTCTGTAGCCTAACAGGTGTCCCAGGTGAGGGCTGGTGTTGTAAAATGGAGTGGACATGGGGTGTCGAGGCAGCAGAGAAGGATCACAGAGGAACTGAGCTCCAAGGGGGAGGATGTTGAGGTGCTGGAGCAGGTTCAGAGAAGAGCAACAAGGCTGGTGAAGGGACTCGAGCACAAGTCCTGTGAGGAGAGGCTGAGAGAACTGGGATTGTTCAACCTGGAGAAGAGGAGGCTCAGGGGAGACCTCATCACTCTCTACAACTCTCTGAAAGTAGACTGTAGCCAGGTGGGGGTTGGTCTCTTCTCCCAGGCAACTATCAGCAAGACAACAGGGCATGGTCTTAAGCTGTGCCAGGGAAGGTTTAGGTTAGATATTAGGAAGAAATTCTTTACAGAAAGGGTAATCAGGCATTGGAATGGGCTGGCCAGGGAAGTGGTGGATTCTCCGTCCCTGGAGGTTTTAAGATAAGACTGGATGTGGCACTTAGTGCCATGGTCTGGTAACCACAGCAGTAGTGGATCAAGGGTTGGACTTGATGATCTCGGAGGTCCTTTCCAACCTAGCAGATTCTATGATTCTGTGATTCTAAGGTGTCTCTGGAAACAGCTTTCTTTCCTGAGAGACCTGGACCTTGCTTTCAGGGAGCCCTCATCTCCTGCCCCTCTTGCATGTCACTGCTGCTGGCAATTCCGTCCCTCAGGCCAAGAAGTGCTTCCAGGGAGCAGTGCATTCCTTTCTGCTGCATTTTAAATTAGAGGTGCTGCTGGTCTGTTCTCTGATGACTCACATGTTGTGAAGGTTGCCAGATTCCAGCCTCTCCCTTGTGTGAGAGCTGTAAGCCCCAGGAGAGGAGACTTGAGCAGCAGAGACTTGGTGGAATAGGGGAAGGAAAGTTGGCTTCTCAGCAACATAGTAGGCAGTTCTCAGCTCTTGTATGATTTATAGAGTAGGCCACAAGCTGCCTAAAATCCAGACTTTCACAATGTGGGGTTGGGATCAAAAGCTTGGGTCTAATTCTTCTCCCTGCTCTTTTACTGATCCAGCTGCAGTGAGCCCAGTTCAGAGTATTTCTGCCCCACTGCTGGTTTAATGGGGAGGTAAAGCCAGGACTAATGGTCTTCTGGGTCTCAAACTGAGACCCGGCATGGAGCTGCCAATACAGAGTAGCACAGAGTTGAGCTCTGGGGCTGCTTCGCCGCGCGGTGCTGCCGTTTATTATGTAGGCTGGGAGCGTGGGCACGCCAGCTGGGGGAAATTAAGCTCCAGGCCCAAGGCTTTATTCTGCTGCGGCTGTTATTAGTCTGGATTGCAGCATGCTGACATGGTTATACTGCTTTTGGAAATGAGCTAGCTTGCCTGGAGCGCGGGTGGGAAAGTCCATGCGGCACCGTGGGGTACCCTGCAGTCCACAGACGTGAGGGGTCAGGAGTCTTTGGTTGTTTATTTCCTTTCTAAATATAAATTCAAGCAGGGGGGTTAGATGCTTTTGTATTGGCAGTGTTTTTGCTCACAGGTCAGCTTTATTAATAATGGTAGTGCTTAGGGTAAATGAAAGCAGAATGCATGCTATGGTCCCTGCTCCAAAAGCGGGAATGCATAAATTAGAGCTGATTATTCCCCTGAGTTGTCATTATCAGTTAGTTCCCTGAGAAGGATCATGACAGAAATGGGTCATTAGAAGAATAGTGGATAAAGTGATTGCCTTTGCAGATGAGCTCTCAAGAGGTGTTTTATGGTTGGGGCAGTGTTGATAGAGACAGAGCAGTCTGCACAAGGAGAGATTTGCCCAGACCTCTGGAGCAAGATGATGCAGTGCTAGCCCGAAATGTGTCTGGCTCCTTGCAGCATTCCTTGATTTAGCTCTTTTCACTCCGGTATTAAATGCAGAGGTGTTGATATTTTATGTATACGTGAACATTGTTCAATCTACTCATACCAGAGATGAAAGATAAGTGTAGGGTGAAAATGATTTGCAGCAAGAACTTCTGTTCCAAAACCTGCATGGAAGGGAGAGTCTGGTAGATGCAGTGCTAAAATTGGTCTTGGCAAAATTAGACTTCGTTCTTGAATCTTCACAGACTTTTGTGTAACCATGGGCAAGCTGCAGTCTCAGACACTCCCAGATATTAAGAGGTCTTGCTCTTCTTCATGTCAGTGAGGCGGGTGCCCAAATAGGTGAGCACTTAGGCATTTTAAAGAATGTTAGCCCTAATCTCTTTTCTCCCTTTGTGCTTGACAGAGGTGGCATGAAAATAAACACTTTGAAGAGTGTAGAGTGCTGAGACACCACTGTAATGAGGCCATTACTGAATCTGAGCATGTAATTAGATGGAAAATGTTTGCCTTCATAATGAATAGATGCTCTTACACATACATTCCTCAGTAAATTGTCAAGTTCATCCTTTCTGTAGTTTCAGTAATTTCACTGTGTATCTGGGGATGGATTTTCTTTGGCGAAGTCGACAGGAGGGGAGGGGGGACCAGACTGGACCACAAGGAGGACTAGGAAATGTTTTCTGATGAGACTCCTAAAAAGATGCTGCAAGGAGTGCAATGCAGAAAGGGCAAACTACAATCTTTAAATGTAGTTAGTGAAGCAGAATAACAGCTCAGTCTCATATGTACCAACTCTGCAAAGCAAATTTCAGATGCTAAATATATGATACACACCTACTCTTTTATTTCTGTTCGGGCAATCTTGATTCTTTTGCCTAGTAAAATACACTCAGTGGAACAAATTTTAGGAGAATTAGCAGCCTGGTTTAGTTGTCACTTGCACTGTTTTTGTGCCTGTGCTTTCATGGGCATGAATAGGGCTCCTGATATTATCTCTATGCTGAGCACAGTCTCCTTACAGCTTTCACGTCCCTGCCTGATCCAGACGATACGTGCAGGGTCTCCACCACCCTTGGTACTGTAGAGGCAGGGTCTTGGTGCAGAAGTATGTAGAAAATCTGATGTGTATTAAAGAAAAAGCCACATTTTCTGACTTTGGTTTAAGTCATTGTTGGTGTACTGCTCAGTTTTCTTCAAAGCCAGCTATATTACCCCACACGTGCAAAAGCTGAGGCCTCAGTCGGGGATGTAACATCCTAGTAAGAAACTCCTCCCTTCATAGCCTCGAGAATTAAGCAGGGCATCCTGAAACAGTATCCTATGGGGCTCTTTAGCTGTGGCACTTGCTTTAGTGTTAAAAACTAAATCATCTATAATGGCAGCACTGCCTACTAGATCGATGCTGAATTATGCCATATGCTTCTTTGATTATAAATGGGTTGACTCCTTTGGGGGCTGTTCAAATGAGTGTGCTGCAGTTAGGTGTGATGAATCCCACCTGAGCCAGCAGTACTGGTGAAACTCAGAAGGAGGGATGATATGAAGGTATACTAGGAGTGAAATCTAGACCTCAGTCCTCTCCCTGTCTTCTTACAAGAGATACAGGCATGTGTGGGTGACCTTTCCCTCAAGTAACATGGGAAAATAATCTAAAAAAGTTCTTTATTTGCTGTTGGTTATGTGGTACATTGCCATGCTCAGGTGGGATAGCAGTGAGAGTGTTGGTAGCAGTTCTTGGCTGCATACAGCTTCTCCACTCTGCCCATTCCCTGCCCCAGCATAGGCAGGGAAACATCCCCAGGAACTGCCAAGGGGTCCAGGGGCAGGATCATTCCAGTGCTGCTCCATGCCCCAGCTCTGCCCTTCCTGTTCCCAGCTCCTGCTGTGAGCCCAATCAAATGGCCTCAACTAAGCAGTTTTCAGAGGGTAGAGGGAAAAGCAATGTGACACCAAGGACATATCCAGAGAATAATGGAAGAACTGGGCCAGGAGCAAAGAGAGGGGGTCTCATCTCTGTGAATTCTTAGGTCTCGGCACTCACTTCTTTTCCAGCAGAAGTGAGATACTTCATCTTTCTGCCTGTAAATGGGATTGGTTTGGAAAATACACTAAAATTATGTGAAGATGTGAGCTTTTAATTCGAAAGAAAGAAAAATCTTAAAGTTCAAACAGGGAACTGTACTAGTTAGTTGTTTGTTTGTATTTAAAAATTAGCCTGGTGGAGATCTTTTACTATTTGGAAATCCCCTTCTCAGAAGAAGAGGATGAATACATAAAAAAAAAAAACATCTATAAAACCTCTTCTCCTCACTTATCTTTATTTCCAGGGAGTTCCTTGCAGCCTAGACCAGCAGCCAGGACTCACACATGAGGAATGCTTCAGTGCATGTTGTGGTTTGTCAGTCCAAAACAAAGTGACATCTCTACAAACACTGCAAGAGTTGTGTCTGGTAGTTGTCTTGCAGAGTTCCACATTGAGTTGAGGTAGAAGAGGGAGTCCTCTCTTGGGCTTTGTGCTTCTGATGGATCTGAAGTTGTTACAGATTTCAGTCCCTCAGCACCACCAACACTGAATAGTAAGGTGGAAATTAGTCCACCTCTTAATAAAGCTTTTTTTTTGCCTTTTTTTTTTTTTTCTTTCCAGATACCATCAGGAAATTAAATCAAAGCTCTGCTTTTCTGTGCAACAAGTAGGTCTTTGTTGGCAAGATCTAATTCATCGCCAGTGTTACGCTGGGAGCCAAGCTGGCCCCCCCAGCTAATGACTGGGCTGAACTTTCCCCGCAGTAACTCGATAGCTGTACAGCTGTGCAGGCTCACAATTTGCTCCTTGATTGTCAGTCTCCTGACAGCTTTTTCAGTGGAACAGTTTGAGAGGAGTGGAAAGCCCTGCTTTGGAGACATAGAAGTGTTTTCACACCTGAAGTGTAATTTCACACCTTGTGTTGCTCAGTAGATAAGTGCGTAAAATAGCACATCAAACGGGAACAGAAGAGGATAGAAATGCTGTAGACAAGAGACGGAGGCTTGTTATTTATTTCCTATCTTCAGCACACTCTGAAATAATACTCACTTGCAGGAACCCAGGCACAGATTATGAAGGGGTTAGCAGAGGACTTGTCTAGCCAAGCAATCTGTCACTGTCACGTGCAGAGCAAGGTGAAAACTTACACTGAGCTGGATCTGTGGAGCATTGGGAGCTCAGAGACCGCAGTATTAACAAGCACATAACAGAGGTGAACTAATTAATACAGGAGGCAGCAAGAGTTTAAAGAACAGATTTACAGGAACACTGAATTGGACCATTCCTTCCTAGGCATGTTTACTCCTTACATTGATTTAGATAGTGAATAAAATTGACCCTGAGTCCACCAAAAAAGTAATATGAGAATTTGGAAAAAACTTGAAATTATCATGGGAGATAAATCATTCCACTGTGTATGCAGGTTTCTTTTCCCTGTCTTTCAAGATCCTTTTGCTTGGTATCTCAAACAATAGGTCACAGAGGCATTCTTCCAAAAGAGAGTGGTGGAGAGACAAGGGCAGTCAAAGGAAACCTGGGTAAGAGAGCCCAAATGAAGCTTGATTGTGAGGGAGAGGAAGGGAAGATGGAAACACACCATTTGATGTGGAGAATCCATAGAGATGCTCATAGTTTCAGTTAATCGTAGACAGGTTTGTTAGGACTGGATACCAGGTACCCTGCTCTTTCCAAGAGAGTAGGGCTGAAACACATCAGTTTTCTTTTTCTCCACAGCTCAATATGAGAAAATCCAAGAGGTGCTTTCATCTGCTGCTTCTCATCCCATGGATTTTACCAAGGAGAGATGTCCAGCCGTTATCTGTTATTCACTACAGACAAAGCTGCTCTACTTGGAGGGGCTTGGGGTGTTTTTTGACCACTTGGGGCTTCCATTTAGTCTGTTACCTGTGCCAGAGGTATTGTCTCCTCTTTTATCCTGTCCTAGATACCTATGGAAAGCTCTGCCTGCGCAACTCTGTGGGTCAGGAGATGTCTCGCTGCAAGACCTCCATCCGCCGAGGACAGCCCAACCCTGTCTACAAGGAAACCTTCATCTTCCAGGTTGCCCTCTTCCAGCTCTCTGATGTCACCCTGATGATCTCCATATACAACAGGCGCAGCATGAAGCGCAAGGAGATGATCGGCTGGATTTCCATGGGTCAGAACAGCAGCGGAGAGGAGGAGCAAAGCCACTGGCAGGAAATGAAGGAATCGCAGGGGACGCAGGTCTGCAGGTGGCACACGCTGCTGGAGTCCTAGTGGTTGCCAGGGCAAGTTGCAGATCCTGGGACAAAGGGCTGTCTTACCTTGTTCTCAGCCAGCAGAAAACAGCTATCCCGTGGCAAGCGCTGTGCTCTGATGGGGCATGTGTGCTTTAACCTGGCTGCTTGGTGTCAGCAGTCATGGGTATCAAAGGTGGCAAGGCCTGGGAAGCACATTTAGTTCTTGTCTTTCCAGGTTGTCCTGCATTTTCTTCATCCAAATAATTAACCCTGGCGAAAAGCAGTGGGAATACCTACAAAATCCTTTCCTTGGTCGTTGTCTTGCTGATTTTGTCATAGGCTTAATCATCACAGGCTGATTCTGATGCTGTTTTCTTCTGGGTTAAACTCTCTCTTCTCTCCCTCCCCTTATTTATATTAATGAAGTTTGCAAATATTCTTCACACGCAGATAGCTCACAGAAAGGCTAACCTGCATGCAGATCACATCCTCTCCCTTTTATTATCGTGTTTCTAAGTCCTAGAAATAAGCATTTGATACCACTGTAGACTGGATGATATATTTTTCAAGCAGCATGAGAAAGCACTCTTGAATTCTCTGTCAACTTTAAAGTGCCTAGACATTACTACTGTTCTCCTGTACTAACAGCTGATATTAGGACTTAACACTATTGATATTTTTAATTAGGCACCCTGCGCACTTGTTAGCCTGCATTGCCATAGGTTTGCACAAGAGATAATGAGCATCAGTTTTTCTATTGCATTATACAATGCATGTTTAGATGTTTACTTGAAGTTATGGCTTCTGTCATCACAAATACCAAAAAAAAGACCAGAAAAAGCTGCACATCCACCTTTGTGCCTGAATCACTCTTTTCTGCATCACTGTTTTGCCAATGTGTTAATTTGGTTTTTAGAAACAAGGTTCATTCAGAAAAGCATTTCTGTGAGCATTACAGGTGAAGGCTTCAGATCTGTGGTTTCTCTGTGATTCAGCTGAGCACTACTCAGTTTGCTGAGGGCTATCCTTTAATATCTTCTTGGGATATGACAGGGGACTAGTTTTGGCATACTGAGCCATAGAGGATGCCAGACCATGTCACCTCATCTTGGGGGCGAGCTCTCCTGCAGGCAAGGAATAGGATCCAGGGGACCCCCCAGAGGGGCTCTGCTGAACTAGCACCGGAGAAAAGTATTGTGCTTCCTGCCTCTCACTGAAAACAATGCAAGGAGCAGGCTTGCTGGATGAGGTGATGACACTTTCACGTCGTAACTTTTCAGACTATATTGTCCTTTTCCACTCTGTTCTTTTTCCCTGTCTCTGCGAGTTGAAGCCGTGGAGATGATGGATAGGGGACGTGTCTCAGTCTGCTGCTTGACTAAGTGGTTGTTTTTGCAGTGCCGTGTGTGACACAAAGGAGGATGTTCATCTTCAAGTGCAGTGATGGTATGTAGGCAGTGAGGTGCTGAGATCTTCAAATGCTATCAGCTGCCCAATCTCCCATTCCCCCTGCTCTCTAGGAGAGGACTGGCATTTCTCCATTCCTGCTGATGACAGCAAGACACAGGAAATATTTTGCTGAAAAGGTTTGTCTGTACTGAGTCACTTCGTGTTTTGGTTTTGTCATTTGCTGAGATCTGGCACCAAATTCTGCCTCCTACTGCACTGCAGCCATCTCCTTCCTTCAATGGTGCTGTGCAAATCTAACTAATGCAAATTTTGGCACTGGCTGTTTGACCAAAATTGGGCCTCTCTGCTGGTTTGGCTCACATCCAGGCCAGCCAGGCCCTGAGAGCACTGCTGTGCTCTCAGTCACAGGTTATCACTTGGTGTCATACACACAGGCTCTGTCTGTCCTCATGAGGCAGACAGAATAATCTGCATGTAGGAGGGCTTCTGGTACAGGTGATACAAGTTATTCTACAGACCCTGCTTTTGTATATTCTTATCACCTGTCTGAGTATCATTTTTTCAGGGAGACTTCTGGGTGTCATATGCAGGAGGGTTCTCCTCTCCTGTCTAGATAAGCTGACATATCTACTTTGCACTACTGGGACTTTCTGTCACAAAACAGGATACAATCTAAATTCAGCTCAGCAAACAAACATATTTTTGACTGCACTGCTAATGCTGCTGTATTACCAATGCAAAAAAAAAAAAAGAACATTTGAGTGGTAACCAGGAGAATAGATTTTTTTTTATCACACACTTTTCTTCTCGGAAAAAAAAGTAGAGGAAACAGCCCAATTCAAAGGTACATTTGCTGATTCCAGTTGCTTTCCAATCTCGGCATCTTTTTTTCCCTGAACTGTATAAAATGTATGTGCAAGTGTTTATAATTAATTTTATTACCTGGAATGTGAATATATGATAAACTTACTGAGATTTTCTCCATAACTTCTTGAACCTGTGAAGTGTTGCTTATGCTTCATGATTAGCTAAGGGAAAACTGTAAGTTGATAATGTGTTTCAGCAGTGAACTGGAGATAACCCAGATTTATAACAGTATGATTAAAAAAAAACTATTGAAAAAGATCATTTTAAAAAGCAATGTAATAAACTGGTTTTGGACTTCCATGCTGTTTTCACAGTAAGATCTTTTCCAAAGATACAGCATTATGGGAATTGAATTTTAATATATAATTTCAGTGTAGAGTATTGGGAGTCAGAGGAAAGCAAGAGAAAACAGCTTACTTAGAGTAAGTTAATATCTGAGCATGTATTAAAACTTAGTTGTTCAAGGGAAGCAGGTTGCTGCATTCTTGCTGCAATCTTTTGGCCTTATATTTTACCAGAAAATTTTGGAGTGGGGGTAAAAAGGGATGCAGCAAATGGACCATTGGGGTTTTGGAGCTACTGCCAAAACTGTTGGCATATCCATGCCTTGAGCAGTACATTCATGGGGTTCATTATGTTCCTACTAAAGCAACAGAAGAATTTTTTGAATCTTGGGATGAACAAAGTGCTGGAGGTGCTTGTGCTTACTAGTTGTATTTTGATATTTTTGCTGCTTTCGTGGTTTATTTTTCTTTTTGGTGTTGACTATCTGTGAAATGAAGGATTTGTACCAGCCCTGGCATATTCCAAAGCTCCTCTAATTCTTCCCATTGACAGATTGAATTAGTCATTGCTAATATTGATACAGGCTTGGCTTGTGCTTCTGGTCTTTCTTATGTAAATACCATTGCCCTTTCAGTCAGTGTTTTAACCCCTTGTTTCCTTTGGAAGTGGCTGACAAGACTGAATTTGCAGAAAGGTTTCAATTCCTTGGGAAGTTTGACTCTCCCTTGGCTCAGAGTTGGTGATGGGTGGTAGGCTGTGCCCTGTGCTTCACTGGCCTTCCTCCATGTGGATGCTGATGCTTCCTCTCTGTTTCTCTGGGGTTCCAAGGGGGAGAGAGGAGCTTCCCGTGGGAGGGCCATGGGAAGTTCAAGGATCAGGATCAGAAAATAAAAAAACCTGAAAACCCACAAAACCATTGTGTGGGAAGGAACTTAACTGCACTGGCATAGGCCCAGAATATTGTGGGCAAGTGCCCTGCATACAGCTCTGTATCTTGAACAGCATCGTTCGGCTGGTTGCAGTCTGTTCCTTCCTTGGTCTCTCTCCAGCCAGCTGGAGCTGTCCTGCTCTGTCCTGCTAAGCTCTGCTGTTGTTTTATCTTCTGGTTTAAATGTGTATCGACAACAGAACAGAATGATCTCACCATGTTTATATTCCCCATGATGTGATCTTCAGCTGATGCCCACAGAAATGAGTACCTCTATTAGCCCACTGAGCTGCAGTGCTGGCTCCCTGAAGTGTCCATTTGCAAAAGCTTTGTCTGGATGGTCTTCTGCATCCTTTGATTTGTTTGGGTTTCCTTTTTACCAGTGTCTTTAATTAGCTGGACCCTGCTGTGGCCTGCTCGTTCCTGTCGCTCTGCCTTGCCTGCGCTTCCCTTTGGAGATAATGTGGGTTGTGTGGCTCCTGGAGTACATGGACAATGCTCAGATATATTTTTAGCGGCTGCAGATCCCGAGGAGTTGTTTGGTGCTTTACATAGTCAACTGATCTTCAGTCATGAATGTCTTTAGATGTTCCTGGATGCGCAGAACCAAAAGCTGCCAGCTGCTATTGATCATTTTTCCAGCATAAAGCCAGAGGTGGCAGCTTGGCAGAGGAGCAGGCGTTTCCTCTGGTGGCAGTTCGTTTTCCCCTTCAGTTGGAGCTGGCGATGACCTTGGAGCTGACGTGCCTGCAGAGCTTGCTTTCCACTCCCATATTTATCATCATCTTTAATCTGTGTGATCACAGCGCTTCATCTCTCTGCCTCTCAGCTGCCTTCTGCCCTTCAGCACGAAAGGTGGACAAAAAGGCTGAGCAGAGAATATGGCCTTCTCCATCACGTTATCCCTGGGCCTGAGGGAAGCTGACTCCTAGAGGGGTTGTCTTAAAGTCATGGTGCTCATGATCAAGACGTTGCATCCCTGCTGTCTAATCCACTTGTGGACTTTGAAGGTTGTTAGTTGGGCTGTGATACTTTAATATTTACAAAGTAGTGACACCCGTTCACCTCAGTGTGGACCAAGTTAATGACAGAAGAAACAACCTGTTCTGTGTTTGCTTTCTTCTTTCTCATGGGCATTGTGTTCTGTGAAAGGACAACAGAGCCTGAAGGAATTAATATGCAGGAACATCCGCTTTCCATTTAAAATGTACTGTGATGTTTGCAGCTATGGTTTGAGGGGAAAAAACAAAGCATCCAGGGTTTTTAGAAAAGCTCACACTTCGAATGAGGCACGTTTTCCCCTTCAGCATATGCTACCCCAACAAATACGTTCTCATATCCCAGGAAGCGGTGCTGGCTCTCAGCTCATCTGCTTCTGTGATACAAGCAGCCAGAAGCTGACAGATCCTAAAGCTTGGAAAGACATCCAGGATAATTCCACATAGCTGTTTTGGGTGTTTATTTGGGATCTGGTGCAGATTTAACAAGATGTCGTGCAAAAAATGAAAACCCCAAGCAGTGGTGGGAAGGTGGTGAGGAGGGAGGGAGGCAGGGAAGGCTCTCAGTGTGCTCATGCTGCTGTAGAACTGGGAGTCTGCTCACTCTCTACTCCAGAAAGCAGCACAGCTGGGCTGCAGTGGCATCAAGCCTGAGCTGAAACCCAGTTTCTCTGCGTGATTCCTGAGTTCCAGATCTGCTGAAGGCATACAGCCTTTTTTTTCAGTGCAGGGTGAGCTCGTGTCTTCCTGCAGCCTACACTGTGGGCCTGAAGAAATGAATGTGTAAGTATTTTGTCTCTCACAGCGGCCCAAGGTCATCTTTCTGGAACAGCAAACAGGCACAGAATCCAAAGAAGATCAGTCTGTCATAGGAGTAAGGTTAGCATCTGCACTTACAAATGACAAAGGCTATTAATCCTCATGCTGTAATCCCCAAGCTGTTTGCCAGCTGGCAGCAGGAAGATGTTCCCGCTCAACCCACACAGCTATCCATGTTTTTTCACCTTTATGGAGCAGATATAGGTCAATACTGTAGCCTGGATAAAGAACTTGGTAGATACCATTCATCTCTTTTGGCATTACAATCCCTCTCCTCTCCACACAAGCCATCTGTACAAATTAGTAAGAGGAGAGCTGCAGGCTGGGCTCTCCCTGAGCTGCTCCCTCAAAACAGAAGGTTGAAGGTGAGATTTTTTTCCCTCCCCTCTGCTCCTGAGTTTGTCATGGGAGGATGAATTTTGAGATTTTGCTGCAGAATTGAACAGCTTGAGAAAAGCTCTGTCACTAGACAGGTTTTGTACACAGAGCAGGGAAAACCTAATGCTTGTAGAAGGCAGAAAAAAGTCCAATGTTGATGCTTTTTTCGATCCTAATTTGGGAACCTGCGTGGGAATTGGGTATTGCCCATCACAGGAACATAAAATCCTGAATCCTACAAGTTATCGCTACTGATAAGGCAGAAGGAAGACTGCTGCTTGGCAGCAATGCAGATGGACTGTGGTAGTCTATATGATCTCACCAAAAACCTATATGGTCACCGTGTTACATCCAGTGAACATTAGGCAGGCTGGGGTTGGAAAAAGTTGAAGAAGAAACACAAAAACCAGATGGGAGCTGTGAAGCTCCATTTAGACCTGTTACTTGCTCATCTCTGTAGAAAATTGGAAAGCAAATTGTTGGGTTTTACTTAACAGAAGTGGTTTAACAGAAATCACAGCTGCTTGGGCAGCTGCAGGTGTGAGGAAGTAAGGATGTTTCCTCCTGGCTCTTGCATTTCCTCTGGCTGTAATGAGTGACATAAAATAAACATCAGATACTCCAGAGGTGTCTGTCCTCTGTACCATCATACCAACATGGGCTGATCTTATTGAGTAATAAGAGACAGAAAGCTGATATTGGCCATGGGTGAAGAACAAGGATTCAGGATCCAGACAAAAACTAGATTCTTCCTGAGCCCCACAACCATTAATGAGTTGTGACCTCCAGGGAAGGCATTTTATTGTGCCAAATACCTCCCTTTCCCTTAATTTCTCAAACTTAGGATAACATTGCAAAA